ATCTTATGGCTAAAATCACTGGATTTATTCTATCAATTCTCATTCAATGATGTGTGGAGGAATTGGTTAGCAGTGGCTAATTGCTCATCCAAAAAAACTAAAGTGAGCATGGCTTGGGAACCCCCTCCTGAAAGATTCTTGAAGCTGAATTTCGATGGGAGCAGTCTTGGTAATCCTGGTCTGTCAGGGGTGAGAGGGGTACTGAGGAATGAGAGTGGGAATGTGGTCCTTATTTTCTCAGGACCCATAGGAGTTGGAAACTCTACTAGGGTGCAACTTGCTGCCACTATTCAGGGAGTACAATTAGCAGCGCAGATAGGTGTGGAACAGATGATAATAGAAGGGGACTCCAAGATAGTAGTGGGCTGGCTACAAAATCCGGAATCTGTTGTGTGGTGTTTTAAGAATGAAATTAAAAAGTTCAACTGCCTAATAAGAAGCTTGACTGTAAGAATACAATGGGTGGGGAGGTCAGCAAACTCTATGGCTGATGGTCTTGCAAAGCGAGGGATAAATAGGGAAAGTTTGTATTGGGCTCAATTGTAGACTGAACCTGTCTTCTATCTTTTGTCTTTATTCCTACTGGTAAGAGAGGACACAGCTCGTGCCTCTCCAAAGGAAACTTGTAACTGCACTAAATTTTATTAATGAAATTGATCATTTTTAATTATCAAAAAAAAAATGGAGCTTAGTTGGCTCAGGTCTTTGTTATTTCAAACCCGTACTAAACCCAGCCCATTGACTACACATGACCAAACATGTTTGTCCACCTCTACAAATTATATCTGAGAAATAACAAATACAAATTTCAGAACACAAAGAATACCTCTCCATCAACAATTATGTCAACCATTCTCGGTGGAACAATAATGTCTTCAACAAATCTTGCCAACTTCAATTCTGCAACCTGCAATATAAAGAATCAAATTAGAAAAATAAATAACCTGGAAAAAATCAGAAAAGCAACAACAATAACCAACCTTCAAGGAAAGAGAGAAAAAAAAAGGTAGGAACCAGTAGGATAATACTAATGTCCCATATTGTAAGAATGATAAGTGTTCTCCTAGATGAGATTCACCATATTTGACACATGGAAGAATCCTATGGCTAATCCAGACCATCCATCAGATATGAAAACCTCTGAATTGGCCAAAAACTTGAAGCAAAGACAAATTAACCAAAAAGGATGTCCGCATAAATAAGAGTTTAGTTTGGACAAGTGGCAAGACTGCAAGAGATGGACTTCTTGTGCCAATCAATGTGATGGGGGTAAACAATGTAACTAGGATTGTGGTGGAAGGCAAAGAATCAAACCATTTGGAAATTTTTCAATTGAAATGTTAGCCACATAGGATGGCTAAATAATCTTATCAGTAGGAACACATGTGAATCTACGGCGTAAGGCCCCGTTTGGCACGTCTTTCCACACGGTCTTTCTTCTGTTTAAAAGCCGGGAAGACCACACCGCGGTCTTTTTCTGTTTGATTCGTAACAGATCTAGCCGCCAAAAGTCAGTGCGCCAAAAAGATGCGAGAATGGAGCTTTTCACGTCTTTCCACTTTATTCTTGCACGAAAAGATGCACGGTCGCCAAACTAGCTTTGGGCTGCTCAGATCTTCATGCAAAAGCTCAATGCGTCTTTTAACTGTTAGAGCTACCAGAAGATCTTCCCAAAAATACTTGCCAAACGGCCCCTAAGACTGTAATCCCCTATTCTCATAGCCCCCACCATTGCAGGTCCTCTGAGGTCAGGCTGGGGAAAAGTTTTGCTCACACTTGAAGTCCTAATCTCACAAAGATCTATAAAGAAGTGGGAGTGATTGTGGTCTCCATTCCTAGAGAACCATAAAGATGAGGTGCTCCTCTTGATTCTATGGTGATTGATGAGGATGTTGAGGAAGTGGATGCTGAACACAGTTGCTCGTCTACCCTCATAATTATCTCTCAAGAAGTGGGAGTAAATGTTGTCTCCATTCATAGAGGACCACTGAGGAGAATTGTTCCTCTTGATTCTTTGGTGATTGATGAGGGTGTTGAGCAGGCTGATGTTGACCACAGTTGCTCATCTAGCCTCAGAGATCCTTTTGAGACTTGTTCATGGGGTTAGGAGCTTGCAACAAGGCTCCAATCTCGTGGTTTATTGGAGGGTGGAGTTCAAAGGGCAGCACCCATAAAGGCAACATGTTCGGGGGGACATCCTAATGTTTTAAAAGTGCACCTCAGGCACACAGGCTAGCCTCACCTAAACCAAAGCACAGCCCCTTTCAAAAGGCATGCACTTGGTGCACCTTGCACCTCATCCCAGGCACACCCCTCTTTTAAATATACCTTTTTTGTCATTCTTTAGATTCCTATGTATTTTACACCTTTGTAATGGTATCAACTTCTAAATTACCTTTTTACAGTCATTTATACACTAGTTATGGGCTATCAGTTTTTAAAATGAACAAAAATAAAGACCTTTCAAATACCTAAAGCCTTAGTTCTTCTAACTAGGATCTTAAAAGCAAAATTTCAACTAAATAAGTAACAACAATAAAAGGCCATTACCCAATGTTGTTCCAAACCATCTGGGGTCTTGAAGGGGTAGACTACAGTCCTAACATTTGGTGTAGTGACTGCACTCAAATTGAACCTGCATTGTCAAGTTTGCCAGCCTGATATTTTACCATTACACCAACTATGGTCCCTATTAAAGAAGTAACAACTATAGAACTAATATCTAATCTCTAATCCTAAAATAGAAAGACTTCTGACTTAAGGGGAAAAAAAGATCATTACCCAATGTTAGTCCCAACTATTTGGGGTCTTGGGAGTCGTAGACTGGATACAGTCCTAAATAGAATGAATTACAACTAAGCTCACAAAACTAACCCATCTATACATACAATCCAGACATTTAGGTTAGAGGTTCTGTCCCAAATCCCTGCAGGTTTTTGTTTAAGCTTGCCTCAAGGAAGTTTTACAAGGGCAGAAGGCTGATCTCCTAGGATGCAAGATGTTTAACATCACACTAACCACTTGAAGTAATATGACTAGGAGATAAATAAACAAATTGGAAGTTTCACATGCTTGAATTGTTAAGTGCTTAAAGCACTTTGGTACAATGCACAAATGTTTGTTTTCACTTCAATATGTTCACTTTGAATATGTTTTACATGTTATATTATGTATTTTAAATTGAGCCAATAGGCTTTCTAAAACATTTTCTTTTAAAATGGACGCTTTTATTTTTTATGTGTTCCTTTATTAATTTTTTTTAAATGTGTGTCTTGCTCTGAAAAGGCATGCAGCTCACCTTGCACCTCAGTCTCTACAAGGCTTTTGCACTTGTAAAATATTGCAAGTCTGCAACATCCTAATTGACCAAACGTCTAATTTTAATTTTGAATTTTGAAACTGGAGATAGGTCAGTTTGGACTCCTGGAATAACTCCAAATCATTGTCAGTCATTGAATCAATTTGTCCAAGTTGCCTGGTTCCAGTAGAAGATCTGATGGAGAAGGTACACTTTTTTGGTCCTACTGTGAAAGTGGAAAGAGACAGTGCCTCAAAAAATGAATAAAATGTGATCCAACTTAAAAGTCACAACAACATGTAACAGTGATTTGTCCACTAACTTGTAAATCTACAGGCCAAGGGGCAGATCAAAGAACAGCTTCTATTACAATAGGAAGAAGAAAACTTCAAGACTTTTAGAACCAAAGGTGCAGGAGGTCAACTCATTCTCCTCAGGTCAATGGCAGTTCCTATTTGCAAGTGTAGATGCAAGGGAAAGTGGGAAACATGCCAAGATGCAATCTACGGGCCAAGGAAACAAATCAGGATGCCCTAAGCAAATCAAAGAGATATGCAACAGGAGCTGGGTCAGATCAAATGGGGTTGTTGAGTTTTGAGCTAATATTACTTGTTTTTATTTACATAACATAGTTAGGGAATTATTGGGCCTTAGGCCCATTAGTTTATTTTTAAGTTAAGAGTGCTTAGTCAGTTCTTACAAGTAGCCGACTTACTAAGGGCATACTTGTCCTTGTACCCTCTTTTATTTGTAAGTATATAATCTAATGAAAGAGGCGGCAAGACCTAATTTTGGCTTCTCCCATTCTCTTCTATCTCTCTTCTCTTTCTCAGCCGAAACCTTTTCTTCTTTCTTTTACAGTTTTTATATCAAAACAGGTCATCCAAACTTTTCTACTTGGTACCAAAGCAAGTTTAAAGAGTTTTTGAGCTGCTCCATCATGTAGCCCTATATTGGCCAACTCCATGATGAGGTAAATGGCTGGTTGAAGACTTCAAGTAAGCCCAGTTTTTGGATTTTTTTAGTAGATTTGCAATCCCTTGTAGCTGTTCTAGGGTTTAACACCAAAATAAGGAAGAACTGGAGAAAGGGGGGAGAATCCTGATTTTAGTAGGACTCTTCAATTTTGACCTAGGAAGTGGCGCTCTAGTTTTCTAGGGTTCCTTGAGGTTCTCTAAAGGGGATGGTTCAAGTCCCAGCCTTTTTGGAGGTCTTTGGAGGGAGCAGCAGTCTCTTCTCTCTCTTCTCCCACTCCCACGGAAAATGGAATCTTTGGAGGGAGGGGCTTCTAGGGTACCAAGAAGGTGTTTGAGGTTTCTAAAAGAGATAAATACCTTTCATTTCATCTGATTTCCTAATCTATTCTACGAGTTATGCAGGGTTGTGGAGTTGAAAATAAATTTGCAGGTGAAATGGTATCTAGGGGAAGAGGTGCTAGAAACCTCTTCAAGGTTGGGACCATTACTACAGTTAAGTTGGATGGTAAAAACTACTTAGAATGGTCACAATCTACAAAGATGGCCATTGGTGCTCGTGGAAAACTGGGGTATGTCATTAGTGAGGAGAACTACATGATGATGACTTGGTTGTGCAATTCCATGTTACCCCATATAAGTAAGAACTTTTTTTTATGGGCTAACATAAATAAGGAGATTTGGGATGGAGTAGCAAAAACCTATTAACAGAATGAGAATGTTGCTAGAAGCCTACAAATTGAGAAACCAAGTGATTGCTACTAGGTAGGGAGATAAGTCTATTTCTATTTATTTTTCAGCCCTCAAAACCTTATGGCAGGAAATAGACCATCTAGAGACTATGGTTTGGGGAAGTAGCAAAGATGCAGCAACTAATCAGAAGTTGGTAGAGAAGAATAGGGCTTTTGAGTTTATAGCTGGACTTAACCCTGAATATGACATTGCACGACAGCATATTCTTTCCCGAGACAGTGTAACTCTCTCTCAAGCACATGCCTTTGTGTTTGGAGAGGAGAGTAGGAAGAATGTGATGATGAGGAACTTAGGCCTTGAGCAGTCAGCTATGGTTAGCACAGTGAATCCTAAACCGAGTGGGGACAAGGGTGGAAATGAACAGAGGAAGGAGGACAAGAAGGATCCGATCTATGACTACTGTAAAAAAACTAGACATAATAGAGATACATGTTGGAAGCTTTAACCACACCTTGTATCGAGCCGACTCAGAAACAAGAAGGGAAATGTGAATATGGCAATGACTAGGGGTGGCCACGAGCCGAGCTTCTCACGAGTTATTCGAGCTCGACTCGTTGAAAGCTCGACTCGGTTTAAACCGAGCTTCGAGCCAAGCTCGAGACCAATGAAGCTCGGCTCATGAGGTTCGCGAGCCTAGTATAATAAATGAATGATTTTTTATCATTTATTTATGTATGTATTATAAGAAATAATTTTTTGTATGTAAAATAAAAAATATTTTTTATATGTTTAATTTTTATTTTTTAGAAAAAACTTGGCAAGCAGTCGAGCCGAGCTTGAACATGTGAGCTTTGAACCGAGCTAAGCTCGAGCTCGAGCCTAACACAATTTCAACGAGCCAAGCTCGAATAGCCAAGTATTCGGCTCGGCTCTACTCGAACC